CAGGATTTCCACAGATCCCTGTATTAATGCATGGAATTTGGAAAGGCTTATGAATTTCATGTAATGAGGTTAATAAAACCTAAGGCTGAGAGCAGGCTGGAGGATACACTCAGGCCTGGAACACAAGCCTGGGAGGCAAGCAGTCTCATTTTTCCATGCTAAAATTTATGAAATACTTGGTGTGTATAAGGTGTGGATCCAAGCTTTCAGGGCTCAACGGTTAGACAGTGTTTGGAGTCTTCCGTAAGAAAGGAAATAAAACTCGCTTTCATCCTCCTCCCACCGTCAGAAACAACTATTCTCCTGAAACCTGGGCTTACCTTCCGCTTGCATTTCTTTACAAGGTTTTGATGCATATATATTTCCAAAGAGTATTTATTTAGCTCCATATTTCTGAACTTTATATAAATGATGTCTGAATACATATTTAATTCTGCAATTTGCCTTTGTCACTCAAAGTGTGTTGTAGATGCGTTGGCACTGACAAATGCAGCCATTAGTCCCCTTTCCCTTGTGTGTCGAAACAAAGGCAGTTCCTGCTCTGCACATCTGTGAAACTTACGCAAGTCAGAACTCTCGCCTCCACCTGCATGATCCCATGGTAACTGAAACTGTGTATCACATTTTTTCACCATCAATCTTTTGTTAAACTTGCCAGTTTTTGTTTTACATACCTTATACTTGGCTCTAGGTACATGAGCAAGAGGTTTTCTGTGGTGAACACCCAGGTGAGTAAATTCTGCTTTATGGAGAATCTGCAGTTTCCACTTTTCTAAATAGCGCCAAGTTGGCCAGCCAGGTGGTTCCACTGATACACATCCCACCAGCAGGAGATGAGAGTTCCCTTCGCCCCATTCACTGTTTTATTGATTAAAAGTTTCTTACCAATCTGGCAGATGACAACTAGTAACCCATTCTGCATTTTCTTGATTTTAGTGAGACTAAAAAGTATTTTTGGAAGTTTATTAGCTTCATGTTTTCCTCTTTACTGAAATGGTCTTTTGCCCATTAGGGCAGCTTTTTCCTCCTTTTTTGGGTGGTTGTATTTTCTGAAACATGATTTTCCTCCTTTTCTGTGGGTTCTTGGTGTACTCTGAAAAGTGATGCTTTCTTGGCTATGTGTTCTTTAAAGATTTCTCATTCGTGGCTTATTTTTTTTTCTGATTAAATTCTTGATTTTAAAATCAAACTTTTTCTTCATGGTTTCTAATTCCGTGTCTTAATAAATTCTTTCCGATATATTGTAAGGATATTCTTCTGTCTAGTTTTGCAAAAAGTAAAGGTTTTAATTTTCCTGGAATTGATTCTTGTGTGGCATGGGGTAGAGATTTCATTTCATTTTCTCCCACATGGATATATGACAGTCTCAGCACTATTTGTTGAATACTGAAGCCTTTCCATTGCACTGTAATGTAACCTTTGACACGTAACTAGTTTCCACAAGTGTGTAAGTCTGTTCTGGGCTCTCTATTCTGTTCTGTTTATTCCACTGCCTTGTCTATTGATGCATGAATGCCTTGCTGCACTGATTACCGCAGCTTTCTAGGAAGTGCAGATACCTGTTTGGGCAAGTACCTCTACCTCAATCTTTGTAAAGTTGTGCATTCTTCAAAGAAACAGGTTAGCTCAGAGTAGCCCAGCATGCTTACCACCGATCAGTCCAGTGGCCTGCCTCAGCCATTCCTACACACGCGAGCCCAGGGTGCACGAACGGCACAGCTGTGCAGCCCTCCGTCATCACCCACTTTCTGTGTTGTCTCAACCTGGCCACTGCTCCCTAGCCAGTTTCCCTTCTCCTTCAGGGCTTCTTCCAAGCTTTCATCTTCCCCTTCAAGTTGCAACACCACCCTGCCTTGCCACTCAGCTGACGAAACATGGAGGCTGACCCACTGGGCTCGGCTGCCAATGCGTCATCTTTCCACAAACTCCTCTGCCTGAGCCACTTTCCTGCCTCCTGCCAGCTCTGCTCTGAGTTCAACCTGCCAAGACCTCACTCCACTATTTTCTTTGATCTTCCATGTGTTTCCAACGTCTCCTCCATGGCCTCCCTTCCTTGAGCACATTTCCAATTTCTTTCATCTTTAACAAAAATATAAATCAAACCAATGTACCATTCAAAACAGAAACACAAAATCCTTTCCTTAGACTCTGCTTACCATTACAGGGAATTAGGAGATTGCAAGATGCTGCTGGTCAGATGACCCCAACATGGCAAGCTTGCCTCAATTGGCCCTCGTGCTCCTCTCAGGCAATGCCCTGGCTCCCTTGGCTCCAGCTACTTCCTCTCTGCAGGGCACACCTAATCTTCTCCAGTTCAAACAGCATTCTGAGTGCCAGACTTGAGAAGCCTATTGCTTCTAGGTCTTCAGCTGGTTGACTGATGCACCTTGAGCTCAAGGTAGACCTTACTGTTTTCTGCTGATAACCCATTCCTGTCCTGGATTTTAATGTAGTCACTCAGAGACCTGAGTTATTCGAGATTCTTCCCCGTGTGACTTCTCACAGGCATTTGGTCACAAAGTCCGGTGCTTCCCCCAGCCCCACACACTTCTCAGGTGGACCACCTCCTCTCTAGCTTCATCCTCATCTCAACTACTATAGTAACCTTCACCTGGCCTCTGCCAAATGCAAGCCATCCTGCCCACAGCTACCACTTCTAAATACAGACAGAGCAGCTTAATTCTCACTCAGATTCCTGTGATGTTCTTAAGTGCCTACAGGCTAAAACCTTAACCCTGTCGCATGACACACACCCCACCCCCAAGTATTTCGGTGGCACTGGTCTACTATAGTCTGACATATAGCATACCCTCAATCAATATGTTGCATGAAATCTAAGAGTACCACATGAGTGGTACTACATCAAATAAACATTAAGTGCAACCCTGAGTGGAAATCTATGAATTAGGGAACTGTTTATTTCTAAGAGAAACAGAAGTAATATTGTAGTGGCTTACCAACCGGAAGGAAATGGATAAAGTATTACTAGCATCAATCAACAATAGTTATGAAAGGAGCCTGCAAGGTGGTTAGGCTGGAAATCTCACTGGGCCGATAGCAGAACTTCTGATAAACTCTTGCCATGCAAATAATTTCTTCATTAAGGACGAAGAGCAAACAGTGAGAGGAGAGTCTGCTCTAGAGTTAGTTCTGAAAAGAGTTCACTGATCAGGTGTTGGGGAGTGACAGAGGCCTTCTGAGAAAATGACCAGAGCATTTGCAAATTCACAAATATGACAGACGGGGATACCAGGCAGAGTCAGACGTGTGCCCTAGATTTCAGAGAAAAAGAGGGAGTAAGCCCATGGACAGAGACACCACAATCAAAGTGGATTAAAAAGGGTCTTTAAAAGAGAGAAATGTTAACATTTAGAAGGGTATCAGAGGGAACAAAAACAAAGATCTAAAGAGTTACACATCATATTTTCCTATGGCTATACAGAAAAATCTCTTATTGGTACAGAGATTTTTCCTTTTGAAAAAGTAATTTCGTTTTACTTCTAATTATAAAAGCTCACATCTTTTTTTTTTTTTTTTTTGAGATGAAGTCTTGCTCCATCACCCAGGCTGGAGTGCAGTGGCAGGATCTTGGCTCACCGCAACCTCTGCCTCCTGGGTTTAAGCAATTCTCCTGTCTCAGCCTCCCGAGTAGCTGGGATTACAGGTGTGCGCCAACATGCCTGGCTAATTTTTTTTTTTTTTTGGTATTTTTAGTAGACAGGGTTTTACCATGTTGGCCAGGCGGGTGCTGAACTCCTGACCTCAAGTGAGCCACCTGCCTTGGCCTCTCAAAGGGCTGGGATTACAGGTGTGAGCCATTGCGCCCCACCAAAAGCTGAAATCTTAAAAGGGCATGAACATATTGTAAAATGGGATGCACATAAAAATGAATACAGAAAAAGCAAATGGTCTTAAGCCAAATGACAGGGCCATGGAGGGTGGCTAACCCCCACCTGAGCTCACATGCTGGGCTTCTTCATCAAGCTACAGTTTGAGCAGTTCCTTGGAGCAGGGCTGCTTTTTTGAGTTCCGGATAGCAAGCGGAACTTCTCAGCCTGTTATATACTGACATTTCAGTGAATACTGATGCCGAACATTCTATAGCAAAGGAAACAATGATTAGGAGAGAAAGCCTAAGTTAAGGCCTCACCCAGTCAAAGTGTGTTACAGCAGGGAGACAAGAGTGTCTGCTGTATCTTCTATACTCCTTAAAATGTTGGAAATTTTTATAATTAAAATTAAAAAACATCTAAAGCAGTTAGAGACTAAATTAAGGAGGGAGATAAACTAAACCGAAGAGACAGATTGCTTGGGGGTCCCACTATCCTGAATATCCCCGAATTTCAAGAACACATCCTCTACAGACAGTTCTAAGGGAAAAGGAACAAACACATCAGAGGGGACACCTCACACTGAGGCCGCCGTAGATAAACATGGTTCCAGACCTCTCCCAATGCACATAGCACTTACACAGATAGGGAATCAGGATCTTGTACATGAAGGTCACTTTTTTCCAAATCCCTAGCAAGTACTTCAGATAAAATATAATGCCCCCTGCCTTTTTTTTAAAGGGGGGGCCTCACACACATATTTGAATATGTCTCTCATTCACTCCCTCGCTCTTTTGGCAGTGAGAAGTATCAGTGCAAGTTCTAAGGGGATGAGGGCACTTCACAGCTGCCTTCTGTGGTCCAGGCTTGCACCTCTCATCACACTGTCATCCTAACAAACCACACAACGGGGAGGCCTGATGAGGTTGCGGCATCTGCACAGGCCCACACACCTGCTAGAAAAGGTGAGGTGTGTGCCCAGATCTACCCAACTTGGGAGTGTGTACTTTTCCCGCTATGTACAAGGTCCTTAATTCCTGAAGGGAGAAATGAGTCAGATTCCTAAAAATTACACAATTTTGAAGAATGTATTTACCATCTGGTTCCCTATGGTTCTCAGCCATTTTCAAGTTTATCTCAAGTCAGGTTCCAAAGTATTTGGAGGGTAGCTGCTAATGAAATATTTGTTAGTTTTAATTTTATTCTGGAGACATTATTCAGTTCTATAATACAAAACTAAAATCTATTTCCTTTGTTTACATGATGTAAAATTTTCAATAACAAACATTTCTACTCAGGAAAAATGGTGTTAAAGCAGAAATACTGTCATGATTGATTCAATGGGAGAACATAACATATGCTCTATTTCATAATTTTTCCAAAAGAAAATGTCTAGTTTGTTTAAATGTAACAAATACTGTATCAGATTCACTTTAGAAACCATACACTCCTTCCTGTCTTTCTTTTGAGCAGATTCTGGGAAGAGAGCTGTGAAGATCAGAGTAGTGAGTCCACGCCATCCAGCATCCATCTGTAACCTGCTTGCTTTATTCTTTTAATCATCTTGGGATCGATTATCTTCAACGATAATAGTTCTTCTAGGATAGGATTCCATTTCTACAAATATGTATCGAAAATCATATTCACCACTTTTTGGGTTCTGAAAAAAAAGTAGTATTTCCAGGTATTATTTTCCTTTCTAGAACTTAAGTAACACTGTGTTTAGAACCTCTGACCCCACGACCCACGATTCCCACACCTCTTTCACTTCTGCATGCACCGTTCCTTGCTTCCCTGGCTCGGAGCCCTCGATGTAGAATTTCACACGCATGTGTTCTAGCCCATCTTTTACATATTCAAGGAAACTGTTGAGAAAAAGAAAGATCAGTCTAAGTTCCTTGCATTGAAAAATCTCCCCAGAGCTTCCTCTGAATTCAAGCCATGGTACCTGATGTGCTGCCTGCGACCCTGCTTCGTCACCTCCCCATAGCCTTTAATAGGCTCACCAAAGACACCGATCACCTGCAGAACAAGGACAGGGCTTTATTTTTCGTGTGTGTGGGGGTTTTTTAAGCTTCCTAAGGAAATAATTTCTAACCAACCAAATGATTTTAGCAAAAAAAAAAAAAAAAATCAGTAAGCCTAGGACCTTCTCAAAAATGACCACTCCAATAAGAAAACTGAAAAAAGGGTTATTATACAAAAATCATCCCATAAATAAATTAGACAAATATTTCATGCCCAAAGATTAAAATAGGTAGCTTTATGGTGTGACTTATAGTTTCAGAACCATGTAGGCAGAAATGACGCAGTTCCTGCTCCCCTTACAGAAAACAAACAAAACAACACAGAGTTCAGCTGTTTCTCTACTAATACCTTATGGTTTGAAGATAAAATGTATGAACATTTTAAATGAAATTTAATTAATTAATGGCACCTAATACTAAAACTATGAGATAAAAAAATTTTAAATCACTATACACAGTGAAGAAAAAGAAAACAGATAATAATGACATTTAAAATAAACCAGAGGCGCAGGTGTGAATCTATTTTTCTAATGAGAAAATCCACATGAAGTGGAAATATAGTTTTTATTGAATTCAAAATGCAAATACTGTGGAACTCTCTAAAAAATATAAATTTGATACCAAACTAAAAAAATTTGACCCTCAACTCTATGAAATTTATCTTATTTTGTCTGTTAGAAGAATATCTTCAGTATCGCATTTTCCAGGAGAAAAAGAAGTAACATGTAAGATGGTATTTCGGAACTGTATAGCTCAACTAGTAGAACAATCCACTTGAATCTATTAAACATACAAATATCAACACCCATCAGGATTTTCTATTTTTCAAGCAGACACAGTACCTGGCAAAAAGAAGGGTACCTGTTAAAAAATTTTGACGAAATTTTTAGTTTAATTATTATTTGTAAAGCTTTTTCAGGCAGCAAATTAAGTTATGACTTTAATATCTCACTCTTGTATATTCTGTGGAGGTTTTTGTTCAAAATGCTGAAAAATCTATGAGTTTGTGAATAACATAGCAACTCTTCATCTCTTTCCAGAGATGCATTCTAACATTTAATCGGGTTACCACCCATGGGTATTTCCACAGTCTGTAAAGAATGTTTCTTGTCAGATATAGTAACTATCATAGGAACCTTCCTTATTTCCTGCTGGTTTTCACCTCTGGAATACTTTACCCTCCCTGCCTCGATCCAGTTAAGATAAATCAGTGGATTTAAAAAGAAAGATGCCAGTGATTGTTAGCTTCTGAGGTTTCCACACTGACATGATTAGAAAAAGTGGTACAGTCAGAGCTGGTGCCCCAGGGAAGATCAGCCCTGGGCTCTGTTTTGAGAGCATGCTATGGATTCAAACCTTTCTCTTCTTTAGGGACTGCAAATGCTAGGGATGACATTACTCCTTGGTCTGTGTGAAGAACAGCCTAATATTTATGATGATAATGGCAGACAGCTATCTGCTGTTATCTTTCAAGGTGAATGAAATTGGATTTCAATGAGTAGTGTTTTCAGTGCTAAAGCTTTCCAACAGGGAGTAAGTAATATAGCACTAGCACTTCCCAGGCCACACTGACTGTGTGTGACCGGAAAGCCACATCTAAAGCCTTCTCGACAGGGTCCTTCAAAGAAGCACGGCAGCTTCCCCATGCTCACTCCTCCCAGGGAAGGGCAGAGGCAGACTGTGCTTAAGAGCTTCAGATTTGGAAGCAAATATTGGTTTTGCTTGGATTCAGGTTCTGATCTACAACTTACCAGCTCCATGATCCTGGTGAAGTTACTTAATCTCTTTAAGTGTCAGTCTCTCCTTCTGCAAACTGAAGATTAAGTAGCACCAAACACAAATGGTTTTTGTGAGACAGAATAAAGATGGTGCACTGGGACCCTAGGCAGAGTGCTTGCACAGGACACATTTTCAGCAATGACACTATGACCATGAGGTCATGCATCAGGCTTTAAAAAGACTAGAAAATTACCATGAGTTTGAGTATTTTGGTGTATTCTAAGAATTTAATATCTATGAACAATCAGTAAAATGACTCTCTTGTACAAGTAGCATGACAACATCTGTACACTGAGTTTTGGGGTTCTCTTAAAGAACAAACATCTAATAATGTAATGATAACTCAAGCATTATGTATTATTATGTGAGTTTCACTAGAATGAGAACTGGTTCTTGAATTCTGCCCATTTCCTCCTCCAAGACATTTTCTCCCCATTATCAGAGTTCATGTAGCTGAATCTTGAGAACTAACCTCGGGATGTGATCTGCATTTTTCTAGGGCTCTCCCGTATACCTTGCTGGGACTTGACGAAGAAAAGAGTTCTTTGAAAATTGTGTAAAATAAGCTACCTGAAATCACAGAAAACAAAGATGGAGTAAAGCCAGGGCAACATAAAAAGGCCAGTTGAAAAGATATTCAAGGGTTTATACTTGCTGTTTTTTGCAACCTGTAATGGTGATTCCAAAGAGCACCACTATTAAATAGGTAAAATCTCTTCCGGCTTCTTTCACTGTAAAGAGAAAACACCAATAGGTTATGCGCAGTGGCTGGGAGCAGGTCTGCTTGCTTGCTGCTTCTGCACTTCTTGCAAGAGAAAGGCTGCCTCCAGATCAAAACAAGGGGTCTGCATGTGTACAGAGGCAGCCGTTTTGAAAACTCCCTGTGTGTTACTGTTACTGCCTCCGCAGAACTCTCAGAGCAGGGCTTGGGAATCTATGTTTTAATTTAACACTATAATTTTAACACTGTCTTAATTTCTAGGATGAAGAAATCCTTTTAACAAGTGATCCAGTCTACCACTGCCATAGGTTAGGCAACACTGGACCCAGATCTGCCACTCCCAGATTAGGAAGAGTGCTGGCTTTTGACAACCAAACAGGTAAGGTACTGAAGGGACCAACATGGGTGTCAACTCCTAACAGTCAGTAACTAGCTCGAATGCCAGTACCACCCCACACGCTGACTGGTGCATAAAAACAGAATTGGGTTTGGAGCAGAAATTTCGTCAGCCAGAAAGATTTATGAATTAAACTTAGAAAATGAAGAACATGCACAGACCAGACATTTGTTTTCCCACGCTAATAAAATATGTGCCTATGGATTAAATGAAAGGTCTGAGAACTAAAGAAACTCAATCAAGAGTGTTATGGGGCAGAGTATATACGTATATATAGCTATAAATAAATGTATTTGTATTATACCCTTATGTGTCCCTATTACCCAAATCAGGTCATTGGTCTCAACACCCTAGATTCCCGATGGCCCCTCTCAACATTTCATTCCTGCCTTGCTTAGCATATCAGACGAGTCTTTCTGTTTATTTACTCACCAACAGCTACCATGTATCTACTATGTGTATCTTCATATATATGAAAAGAGCTATAATATTACAATTACACCACCTCAATATTACAATTATTACCATGCTTTCCACTGATGCTGAGAAACTGAGTCACCTCCCGGCATTATGTTTATAGGCTAATTTATTCACCACATTAGAAATTCAGACTTCTGAAATATAAATCTTCAGAAATTTTTTAAGAAAAAAACTTTTAGAAAAAAATTTTAACAGAAGTTATTTTCTCTTCTGTATAAAAAGCTTCTATTACTTTTATATAAAACAACATTGTTTAAGTCTTTAGCTCATACAACACTTGTTTAAAAGTAGTCTTTAGCATAGCACAATCCTTCAAGTTTTCAGCAAGATTCTCAACTTAGAAGATATTATTCAAATAACAAAAAGACCACATCTGCCAAAGTCTGTGTAATTCATGGAACTGACTCAACAATGGTCACAATCCAATTTCCCTTCCAAGGTTCAGGAGTTGGGGCCTACAACAACATCTCATTCCACTCTCAGTGTCACAAAATACATTTCAATAAATATTACCTGCCAGTTACATGTCAAGTCCCAGGTGGAGAACACGATAACAACTAATTAGTTCTAGTAAGTATCCTTATTTGTCCTTGTTATGCAAACCAGGTCCCTGGCCCCAACACCCTGGATTTCTGACTGTTCCTCCCTACAATTCATTCCTGCCTTGCTTATGGTATCTGATAGGTATTCTCCATTTATTGGATAAACAACAGCTCCTGTATATGTTACATATAAAGCCCTGTGCTGAATATTCTCCATATTCTACAGATTTAAAAAATTTCTGTTTGTTACTTTATAGCTGTCTCCGGTGGAAGCTGCTCACTGTCTAACTTTTTTAACCCTTTCGGATCTAATACTTGCATGCCAAAAACCCTCATGACTTTTGCTTCTGCAGTTCTCGAGGCCTCCTGTAGTGGGTGTTGTGGTGTGGGTGCTCCCAGCTGCTCCCAGCTGCAGGGAGCACTGGTAGTTGACAGTTAACAGCCGAACTCCTCGCTGGGCATTCCATCATAAGAGAGCTTCCTCACCTAGGTCACGGCACTTCCTGGGCCAGCCCACGCTCAATGCCTGGTTGATGCAGAAGTGTAAGACTCAGTCACCCCGTTAGGTAGAAGGATGGTGACTGGCCAGCCCAGCCCCAAAGCTCCCCAGAGCAGCGGCTGAGGCCCCAACTGCAAATATACTTCGGCTTCCCCTTCTGCCCAGTTCTGCTTCCCTCACCCCTCAAGATGCATTCTGAGAGCACTCCCTGATAAACCTCCTTACGCAAATCTCACTTCCCTGAGAAGCCGACCTACAACGGCTGCTACCAGCAGTGGTAAGTAGCTCTCAGTTGGGATTTTGGAGCTGGCTAGCTGGCCACTGGCTAGCAATGAGGACTCTTGTCCCTGGTGGTAGGGGGGCACTGACAGTGCCTGTCATACAGCTGTAGTGCAGCTGATGCAGCAGTTACTGATGGGGACTTGGGATGGAATACTGGCGGAAGGGAATGCACTGGCTCTTGTGTTTTTCTGGGAATTTAGGAGGAATCAGCAATTTTAAGGACTTAGAGGGCTGTGGCTGGAGCCATGGATACTCTGGAGAGGGAGGATGAGATGATATGTATAACTAACCACCAATGAAGGTGAGTGCCAAGGGCAGGGGCCTCCTCCCCAGCAGAACAAGACTCAAACTGCATCCAGAGGGCAGAAAACGCAGGGGTCAGGTCTGTGGTGTAAGGGCAGCAGGGAGTTTGGCATTTCAAGCCCATGAGACCTCCCACTCCTAGGTCAGGGTCCTGATTTGGGAGGAAAGGGAACCTAAAGCTGTGCTGGGGGCCCTTGAGGTCAATGCTCTAAGCAGCTCATTGTCTGGTAAAGGTTGGCACTTCTTCCATCTTGGAAACTGGGCGAGTGGTGGGTGGGTGGCTTCTGCCTAGGAAGACACATGCTGCCCTCAAGAGGTCTCTCCACCTCCCCTCCTGGCCAAATTACAACACAACTGGGCATGAGAAGGGTGAGAAGGAACGATACACAGAAGGAGCTGGAGGCCCCACCAGCGGGAGCCAGGGGAACATATATACCATATCACTGGCTCTTAAGGGTGGTGTGTCAAGGGCACAGAACACAAACCCGGCTACGTGAGAAATGATCAGCTTGGGGCACACTCCTGTGATGAATTTAGCAACTGGGCAAGCACCCTGGGAACTGATATGCAGCTGGCTAGGTTTGCTCCCGTAAACTCTGAGACAGTGATGGTCCACATTAAGTAAAAGTGACAGAACAGCCATGGCAAACTGAAGGAAAGGCTCAACAGCCTTGAAGAATGGTAATGCTACCATAGATATAAGATATAAAGGCTGAAAACCCACCAGCTGACTATATTCTTAGGAGGAACTGGAGGACACTGTACACCAAAGCCACAAGGAAGCCACAGTTACATCTTTACAGAGCAGGATGCCCTGACAGCAAAAGAGTTCTGAAACAGAGACCAGGTTAGGTATTAGACAGAAGCCAAGGTGGGTGCAACCATCATAACTGATGGCAAGTCAGTAGTGTCTGACCTGCACAGAGCAACAGAGTTGATGACTAGAACATAGTGTTCCCAAGGGCAAGATGGATGTGTAGTGGACAAGGCTACCTCTAAATTACACAGTCATGAGATATTAACTACAGATGACTCCTGAGGCTGAAGGTAGCTGCTCTAATGCAAAGCCTTGAACACCGCCCCAGTTTCTGGAACTGAGCAAGTTTTCAGACCTGGAGCCCATTTACTGAAGGAAAGTGTATGTGACTGACTCCCCCAGTCCTTCACCAAAAGGACCTATAGTTATCAACTTGGACATAATCTGTGCTGACAGTGATGGCCAAGGATCCAAAGAGTTAGGATGACCCTCCGACCCCTCTCAGCAGGTAAGAAGCTGATAGCTGGGTCCATGGACTTATCTGGTAATCATTTCTGTGATTTCCAAATGTATAAATCAAGAGGATGTACTGAGTAAATGGCAACAATAACTCCTACTTTAGTCCTTTTGGAAGTGGGTTAAGAGCTATCACAGTGGGAAAAGTCAAATGGAAGCCTCCAAAACTGCCTCAGTGACCAAGATAATAAAATAAAAACAGTATCACATCTATGGGGAATGGCCGAGAGAGTGCTATGCTTAGAGACCTTAGATACAGGCATGGTGGTCCCCATTGGTGGTAAAGTCCCTTGTAATTTACCAATCTTCCTTTACAAAAAACAAATAGGGGCTGGAGATGACAGTGGTTCACTACAAACTCAACCAAGTAATAGCCAGGGCACATATGCAATACCACATATGGTAACTTTACAGGGAAGTGCATTAACACAGTCTCATGGTATTGGCCATTGATTTGAAGAATGCCTTCTTCCCTATCTCGAGAAGCAGCAGCAGGAGTAGTCTGTAGTAACATGAAACAGATAATAACAGGATTATCCTGTTATTATGATCCTGCCCAGGATCTGCTAATTCTCTCACTCTCTGTCATAATAGTATTAAGGGACTGAAACCTTCTAGACCCGGGCTAATACAGTAGCCACTAATGGCTATTTCAGTTCAATTTTAAATTAATTAAAATTAATTCAGTTCTTCAGTCACATAATTTAGCAACATTTCAAGTGCTCGAAATAGCTACAAGTGGCCAGGAACTAACCAAATGTACAGCACAGATATAGGACATTTCTATGACTGCAGAAAGTTTTATCTGAATAATCCTCTTCTGGACACTGAACAGAATATCACATTTGTCTACTATGTTTATGCCATCATGTTTGAGCCCATAAGTAACAAGTGTCAAGTGTGTTAGAAGGCTCGGTCAGACAAGCTGCAAGTGTGAGGTGGGTCCAACAAAGATCCAGAGGGTCACCAACACATGAGCGGGCCTCGTGGGGCTACACTGGCAAGTGCCAGGACATGCCCTTGCGAGTAAAAGACAATTGTTGTACCCTATGCCTTCTAACACAATGCTTCATAGGCCTCTTTGAATTTTGGATGCAGCATATTTCACAGTTGGGAATGTTGCTCCCATCCACTCACTCAGTAACAGGGACTGTCACCTTTGAATGGGGTGCAGTAGGGCTCTCTAAGGAGGCCTGGTGTGCAGTGAAAGCAGCAGCACTGTTGCCTGAGCCAGATGACCTGACACATCTGCCCGTTTCTATGCCCTTCACTTCGGCATATGGGTTGTTCCTTTGCGCTGAACTATTATGAATGAAAAACTAGATTATAGTTTTGGCATATGCAACAGATTACAAAACAATTGGTAGAATATGATTCAATTTTTTGGGTTAAAATTATTAAAAAGTATGTGTATGAAAGTGCAAAATGTTAAAAAAAGTCATCTTTGTGTGGTATAATCATGGGGGTCTAATCTGCTTTGTTTTTTTTTTTTTTTTTCCTACAAATTACATGTGAAATGAAGAAATTAAAAAACAAATCTTAAAATACCTGTGAACACATCTCTGACTTTCCCTGACAAATCACATTCCATCCTCCCTATATGTTTTTCTATGATTGCAGGTAACATCTGAAAGTTTTCCCTACTGGTTATGCGTCAATAATCTCTCTTTTTATCCTATCCAGTTACTCTTTTATTATATGTAACAGAGCCCACAAAACTTGACAAAAATTTGCCAGACATAATGCAAAAAAGTTATATTAAATTAAAGATCAACTTTCAAATCTGAGTTTCAATCTGTAAAGAAAACTGTAGGTCTATACGTTCTAGTTCTAAATTATAAACGGATTTTAAAAACTCATGTGAATTGCTTTTTCACCTTTGGCAGTGAACTTGGTGTAAAAGGGTAATGGGAGCTCTTGTCACGTCTGATGATAGACCAGTTATTAAAGGATTCCTTTTTTACCTTTTTGTGCTATTGGGATGGCGGTTCCTCCTCTCTGACTCCTGTGCACAGACACTTGTTTGCCACTGCCCTCCTTCGCTTTTCGGGAGCTTGGCCCCTGAGTCCAGATGGCTCTCTGGGTGACTCCAAGAATACATCCAGGTCGCACTGTTTTCTTTTGATATTGAAAACATCTCAAACGGGGCTCAGTCTTCAAGCACGCTTTGTTAAGCACAACGTGTGGTAAAAGCAATCGCTTTGCCGAGGACCTGTGCAGCTTCTCCGTATATTGTATGGCTCGTAGAAAAGTACAAATCATGTTCACAAAAAATCGTTTCGCTTAGGCACGATGTTAACTACTATTAGGAAAGCTTTAGGGTTCACCTCACATCCGGCCGGACTCCTACTCAAGCCTATACGTTTACCTACATGGGGTGTTAGGCAAAAACGTTAGCTTCAGCAGCGTAAATGAAAACGAAAAGTCTCCACAGAGAACCTGATGTCCACCTTCCCTTCTGTCTTCATTCTATTTGAATTAAAATGCTCTGATTACCTTCTGAGCTGACATTCACAGGGTCTCTGCCATGCCTTCGCAGTCACCTGGGAAACTCCCCCGGCTTTCTGGGAATAGTAGTTTAAAGACCCTGCTCTTAACTGGGATGCAACAGTGGGGCGCGCAAAAGAGACTACACCTCCCACAATTCAAGGCTGCCAGAGCAGGCGCAGGCGCAGGCCCTCAGACGCCCTGCGCAGACGCTGTAACGTTCTTGGAGCGGTGGGAAAGTGCGGCGTTTGTGGCGCTATTTGTACTTCAGACCCTGAGGGGTTCAAGCGGGACTTGCAAAAGCCAAGTTAGTTGCAAACTACGTGTTCTTCTGATCCTTCTAGAGAGGACTCCACATACTGGGAAATACTCCCTTTGACTGTGGCCTTGCCATTCCGCGTGCGCAAATGATTTAGTTTTTGCCTTTCAAAGAGCCATTAAGTGGAGATGAAGGGAGGCCACTGCAGATCAGGCGCCGGTTTTCTAAACCATAAGCCGCGGACTTGCTCGGCGCCCCTGGTGGCAGACTGTGAGGGGTGGGTAAAGAAGCCGAGGCCGGAAGTTTCTAGAAGCCCGCTCTGCGAGCCGTCTGGCGCGGTGCCGTCTGCGCACGCGCTAGGCCGGCGTACACCCGCGCCTGCGCCTAGGGGTATGGCGATGTGGGGCTTGTCTCGGAGCAAGCGCTCCCCGTTTCCGCCCTCGCGCGGTCCTGTGGTGAACGCCTGGTCTCCATGGCGACTGGACGCGGTCGGATGTTGCAGCAGCGCCTCCAGACGCTGCGCGAGCCCAGCGAGGGCGGTGGCGCGGCCCTGGGGCGTGCGAGGCAGGTCCCGGGGCGCCCCAGGGTCTTTGGGATCCGGTGACTGTGGGGCCCGCGGGTGGCGTCAGCCGGCGGGGAGCCCCTCGTTGCGCGGCCCTGGGGTTTTCGCCGAGTTGGATTCGCCAGGCTCTGGCACGAGGCCCCAGGCTCTCTTCAGCGAGAGGAAATCCTTTGTGCCCTGCCGCGTGGGGTGCCCTGAGTGACGGCACGAGCGGAGGAGCCTCTCGGGGAAACGTGTTTTTCCCGCGGCGTGTGCGCGGGGTGCGCTCGCTCGCCTGCCGGGACAGGCGCGGGTGCCCGGAGGTCGCGCTCCGGGACGCCCGCCCGAGTGCACGGCGCCCTCCCCTGCCTTCGCCCTTCGCCCTTCTCGTGGCCGTCCCACCTAGGGCAGTAGACTCCGTCCGGGACCGCCTCGCCAGCGTCCGCCCCACCCCCCAGCAGATGCTAGTGGCGGGCAGCGCTTCCTGCACCTGCGACGCCGAGGCCGGGCCGCCGTCTCCGTCGCCAGGGCGCGCTCGGGCCCCGGTCCCGTCCTGCCCGTCCCCGGGCTCAGGGCGGGAGCCTGCGGTGGCCTCGTTCTGCTCCCTAGAGGCTCGTCCGTCCGTTTCCCTTGGGGTTCCCTGGAACGGAAGGGTGGTCCTCGCCTAGAGTGAGGGAGAAGGCAGTTTTGAGGACGTCCATAGGACAGGCGCAGGAGCCCGCCTCTGCTTTCCAGAAGCTTCTTCAGCGTGAAGAAGTGAGCTGATCAGCGTGCGTCATGGCACCCTGTGAAATCCCTCTCCTTGTACCGTGAGCGGTTCCCTACCCGAGTACCCGTCGCTGCTGTCAGTTTCCCAGACGGAGGGACGATGCTGAGAATGGTTTACATTCTTGAGGATTATCTTTGTGCTTGTGAGACTCTTTGATTTGTAAATGTGGAAAGTCATGCACATTTTGCCTTATAATAAACCAGCAGTCCGTGTTTGACCATACAAAGGGAGTCTATTACCTACGAGTCGAACTGCTTGTTTTATCCCCCTGCCTCTGCAGAACTCTGTCCCGTGTCCTCCCTAGGGCTCCATTGCTTCCACTTAGCCCCGTTGCTTACTGCTGTGATAATAGTTCTTGATTGAAAACCTATAATGCTAGACAAACCACAAGCCTTGTCACGGATAGAACGGTGACAGTGCCTGCAAAAGTTCTTTTATGTAGGAGAGAACGGGATTTAAATAGGAAACTTGAACTTTTAATCAATTTGCTGCTATTACTAAAATTAGTCTTTACGTAGTGCTCTGTTAGGGGGAAGCAGAAAGATTTTTATATGATGAATCTTTTATCCTTTGTAAATTGAGTGAACTTCCTGGTGGATTGATATAATTAGAGGGCCTGTCACTATGCCTGGCATGAGAATCTGCATTTCAAGCTGATTTGGAAATGTATGGATTATTTTTGGTAAAGTCTGCTGCCAAAAATAGAATGATTTACTATGGTCAAGGCAGGTGGTTATTTTAATGTCTCGCTGTGGAAAATTAGACGTTGTTAAGGAATCAGCGTTCCCTTTTTAACACAAAATGTGAATATGTATATATCACAAATTGTAAGAAGTGTAGCGGAAAGCATATTAAGTTGGGTTTATTCATACCTGGTGTAATTTATTTGATTTGCCGGCTGTTTAAAATGAAGCACAGTCACTAGGGTTTTAAAATATTGGACTTACTCAAAACTGTCAGACAAAAGCCTGTCACTTGACGTGTTTTCGAACTAAATTTATCTTATAAATGTATCAGTGTATGTCTATACTTAACCTTGTAGACATATAGATCTGCATAAAAACATAAATGGAACTTGCTGATTTGTTAATTATATGGCCCTTAAAAATGTGCAGTTGGTTTATTTATGGAGAACTAGAGATGTGTTTTCCATAGTGTTAACCGGTACATTGATGAGATGTAGGATTTTATACAAGGTATGGTAAAGAGAGCTCTGACTTAGGACCTTAAGGAGATAGGGGTCTCAGAGACTGTCTTTGCTTCTAGCTTGGGACCTTAAGTCCCTTTGCTTACCTTGTTAGAGCCTTAGTCTTCTAAATTGAAATGAAGGACTCTATGAGATCCATTTCAATTATGAAAAAGCAAAACAGCAAGAAATAAGCTTTGATGTTTTAAAAGTGTGAAAACATGTTTGTAATAGAATAGCCTTCATATTCCGTTAAAGCACTTACACATTACCTTGTACAGAGTATATGATTAAGAAGTATTTGTAGCATTGAACTAACTAAGCCCTGTTAAATATTTTAGTCAAAGATAGAGGCATATCCATTTGTTACTGAATTAGGGATTCAGATTAGGGAAAAGCATTTGGTACTTAAAAATATTAACTAGTACCAAACAGGACTTACTTGCTTAATCATTATTTAAAACTATCTTTGAGTGGGGAGAGTTACAGTACCACTTTGAAGAACTTACTAAGATTATTTTATTTACATATATTTTACATATACATTTACAAAACAGGTGACTTTATTTTATTGACATTTTCACAGTAATCTTTCATAAATTTGGGACATACAAGTTAAGTTTTTCAGTAAGAACTTGTTGGCAGAGTGAGCCAGTATGTATTCTTGAAACGTCTAAGCGCTGTGCTTCTCAAACTTGTAGTTGTAGTGGGTAGGGCATACACAGAGCATCTTCCTTGTCTGCAAAATCAACACAAAAGCTTTGGGGAAAAGGTTAAATAATGTAACTGGTAAGTAATATAATACATTTTTATGATAAGACAAAGACAAATTATTTAGTAGAATGCAATATTTGCTTTAATTTTTAAGATCATTTGAGAGACTTCTAAGAAGTTTTGAGTTTGCTGCAGACCGTACTTCCAGATTTCGGGGAACCTGGTTTCAGTTTCTTTGCAGGGGTGCTGTTACTAGGAATGCCTTTGAGAATCACTGCTCCAGTCTCAAGGGTTGTGCTTTCAAACTGTGATTCCCTGGCCTTCTTGTACTTGTGACTCTTAGTTTTGAAATTAAAACAACTCCCCCCAAACTTATTACAGATTCAGTATGCTAAGAAAAATTAGAAAATACATGGAGTTTTGCCCCTTAAATCCTCCCCATTTAAAAAAACCATCACCGACAAATTTTGTAATCCTATGAGTCAGATTTATTAACTGTTAAAGCTTGGTTTCTTTTTCTAGACCTCTTTTCTTTATATGCATGTATTTACTTTCCCTCTTAGAGAAATACAAAAATAAGTTTACGTAGTAGGCAAAAACCGCAATTACTTTTGCACCAAACAAATAGTGTATACTGATACAACCTGCCTTCTCAGTTATACTGTTAGTGATTCAGCAGATATTTATTGAATGTTGCTCATATGCCAGGCATATTGTGGGTGCTGAATAATCAGCAGTGAACAAACCCATGCAGTATACTTGCCCATGTCGTTCCAGCGGTAGTAAGCAAGACAGGAAAAATGTATAGTGTTGGATGGTGATGTGTGCTAAGGAGAGAAACAGAGAAAGGGCACAAAGTGTGTGTGTGCGTGGCAGGGGGTAGGTTGGGGACTGGTTTGCAGTTTAAATAGAATAGCCAAGGAAAGTCTCAGTGAGATGGTGACATTGTAAATGGCTGAAGAAAGTGAGTGAGCAAGCCATATAGACATCTGGAGGACATCAGGGATCTATTTCTAATTCAAACACTTCACTTGGGATGAAAATGTAGATTTTAATTGACTAAGGATTGTTAACTCTGTGGAGACCATGCAATTTAACCAATCCCTATACTGTTTTTAGTGTTTTTTTTTCCCTAGTGCAGACAACTCTGAGATGGACATTCTTGAGTGAAGTATCTGCACATTTCTAGAAGTGGAATTCCTGGCTTAAAAGAGCATATGTGCTTTTTAAGGATCCTGGTTTCCAATATCAGATTTGGCTTTCCATAATGCTTGTTGTACCACTATATCTTGTCCTACTGGCAGTAAATGAGGATGCCTGTTTCTTTGTAACATAGCCAGCATGAATCATTATCATTTATTTGGTCTCTGCCAATTGCTACATTAAAATTGATCCATCAGATTAATTTACTTTTCTTTGGTTCTCTTGGAAAGGCATAGGGTAACAGTTTTTATCTTTCTGGCATCTTATTGAGGAAATATATAATGACTAAAAGCTGTTACTGATTCAGTAAGATATTTAATATTCTAAATACCTTTATATTTGATTGTTATGTTTAAAAAATATATATATTATATATATAATTATTCATGTAATGCTTAGGGTATGTATAGACTCAGACTTCTAGGCACAACCAACTCTTCATACTCTCATGGGCTTAAGGGTTATAGATTTGGAGCTCCTGATAGGAATTATTATTTGACTGAGGAATGATAGAAATTCCCTTTACTTGAAGCTTAAGTGTTAGAAACGTTGTCAATTATAGAAATTTTATCTTTGAATATGTACCATAAGTCAATATAGACTTTAAAATAATAACCATTTAAAAATAAGTCACACTTTTAAATAATTTTAGAATGTATTACAAATTTTGTTTACTGTGTTGACTAATGATAGTAAGCAAAGTTTATACTACCTTCTAAAGTTATTTATGTCCATCTGGAACCTCAGGATGTAACTTTATTTGGATATAGGGTCTCTGCAGGTATAATTAGTTAAGATGAGCTTATACTGGATGAGGGTGGGTCCTAAATGTAATATGAATGATATCCTCATAAGAAGAGGCACAGAGACCGATATGCCCAGAGGGAAGGTTTCTCTGTGAAGATGGAGGCAGAGATTAGTTATGCTGATACAGAAAACTAAGGGACATCAAAGATTTCTGGCAGCCACCAGAAGGAGGAATGATCCTCCCCAGAGCCTTCAGAGGGAGCATAGCCCTGTTGACAACTTGAGTTTGGACATCTGGCTTCTAAGACTTGAAACAATAAATTTCTGTTCTGAGTCACCCAGTTTGTGAAGGCAGTCCTAGAAATGAATGCAATTAGGAAATTATATTTTACTTCCAATTACTATATTAGAACCACATCAATGGAGTTTAAGCTTTTCTCCTGTGGAAATCTGTTTAAACAAAATTTCCAACAGAAATACAAAATATATAACACAGGCAGAATTACCTGATTAAAGGAGGAGAGGCTAAAATTTCTAAATTAGCATTTCTACCTGTCCTTTCTCCATGTCTTCCTGCCCTGCAGAGCACAGATTGAAAACCATTGGCTAGAAAGTCATGTAAGACCGAAAGTACATTGAGCACCTTTCAATGAAGCTGGGATAGAAAGGCATGTGGAGGCAGCATTTTTTTCCTTAGTGCTTTTCTTTGTCAGCATTTATTTCCTTATTTTTTCCTTTTTACGCTCCAGGATCTGGAAAGTTTACCTTATG